GAGCTGGCAGCCGAGGACCGCTTCATGCTGCTCTTCAGCAAAGTGGAGCGGCTGACCCAGCGAATGGCTGGCATGGCCTTCCTGGGCAACTTCCAGGAAAACCTGCAGATGCTCACACCGGTGCGGACCCCACCCAAATCATGGTCGTCTGCCACTGTCCCTCAACCCTCTACCTGCTGGTTACCGCCCCTGCCCTACCAGTCCTTCCAGCCAGTCCTGACTTTGCCCCATCATGGCCTGGGGTTTTTCACTCTTCATCTTGCCTTCCAGCAACTCAATGCCATCATTGCTGCCTCCGCCTCCGTCAAGTCCTCGCAGAAACTGAAGCAGATGTTGGAGGTGGGGAAAGGTTGTGGGGCAGGAGGGTGCTGGTGGCTCCCAGGCCCTGGGTGGGAGCCTGGGGCTACACAGAAGAGGAAGGAGCCCTCAGGGCATGGCCTAACCTCTACCCCACACCTTTTGGACAGATCATACTTGCTTTGGGGAACTACATGAACAGCAGCAAGCGGGGAGCTGTGTATGGCTTCAAGCTCCAGAGCCTGGATTTGGTAAGATAACGGGGGCAACACAGGGCCAGGGATCCTGAGGGGCAGTGGCTGGGAGCCAGGCTGTTCAGCTCTCTCACATTACCCACTGCCCCCCTCTCCCAGCTGCTGGACACCAAGTCCACTGACAGGAAGATGACACTGCTGCATTTCATTGCCTTAACGGTAAAGGAGAAATATCCAGACCTGGCTAACTTCTGGCATGAGCTACACTTTGTGGAGAAAGCTGCAGCAGGTGAGGGGAGCCTTGCCCAGCAAGCCTGCCCTCATGTCCAGCCTGGACAATCTCAGGAAGCTGTGAGGAGAGGGAACACTTGGGTCCCTTTGTGTTATCTTCTTTCTGACCACTTCAAAGCTTTCCACTGGGGCCATGGGCAAGGGCCACCCCAGAGGGAGCCTTCTTATAAGCACCAGGCCCAGCCCAGCCCTTCCCACAGGGGTGCGGTAGGAGCAGGCAGAGGAAGGCAGCAGTGGCTCTTCACTACGAACTCTGAGGTCTCAGAGTCAGCCCCAGAAACTGCATTTCTCCGTGATGCACTTGAAGTGCTTAGAAAAGCCACAAAGCCCCCACAGACAAAAGGTAGCTGTTATTTCTGCCCCAGCCAAGAAAATGGAGGCAGCTCCATTATTGGAGACCAGCACTCTCTCTGGCTTGCCTTCCTGTGCTGCCTTGCTCTCCATTCCTTTTCCTTGCCCCTGTGAGAGCCTGGCCATCTGGGCATGCCCCTTTCTGTACCTGCCTGGGTGGTTCAAGAAGCAGGGGCATGAGAACACAAGCAAGCCCATGCTGGGGGGGAGGGCCAGTTTGCTGTCGCCCTGGGCTGGGAGTTGGGCATGTGGGGCCCTGCACAGGCCTCAGCCCAGGCTCTGGTGACCACAGTGTCCCTGGAGAACGTGCTGCTAGATGTGAAGGAGCTGGGCCGGGGCATGGAGTTGATTCGGCGGGAATGCAGCATACATGACAACAGTGTCCTTCGGAACTTCCTCAGCACCAACGAAGGCAAACTGGACAAGCTCCAGCGCGATGCCAAGACAGCCGAGGTGAGCACAGGGTGGAGGCTGGTGGAGACAGCCAGGGCCACGGCACACCTCTAGGTGGGCTTAGTTCTGGTTTTTGGAATACAGAACTTGCATCAGGCGGCTGTCGGGCTGTGTGCTGGGGAGAAGACCCAGGGGGTGGCAGGCCACTGCCTCTGGAGATGCACACACCAAGGAGCTCTGGGAGTCCTAGGCTCTCTTCCCTCCCTTGGGGTCTGGGGTTGCTGCTTTTCCTCCTTTGGCCCTGGGTGCTGCTTTCTGTGGGCCTGTCCCTGGTGGGAAGCCATGCCTCTCCTTCCCTGTCAGGCTGACCCCTGCTGCCCACCCATTCCCCAGGACGCCTACAATGCAGTTGTGCGCTACTTCGGTGAGAGTCCCAAGACCACACCTCCTTCTGTATTCTTCCCAGTATTTGTCCGATTCATTCGTTCTTACAAGGTGAGCAGAAGAGAAGCTTTTAAAGAAGAGTTCAGAGAGAAAACTGGTAGGGGGAGAGAGGGCTGGGCTTTAAGTCTGGGCCTTTTCCGTCTCCTCGTCGGAGTTCTGGGACAGAGCAATGGAAGCTGGCCACAGGCCTCGCAGCTGTGAACTGGTGGGCAGGGTGGGGGCCCAGGCCCTTCCTGTCATTGTTCAGGGCAGGAAGTGCCCCTCCAGAGGGTGGCCACCTGGGGTTGCTGGTCCCACTGCCACCTACTGTCCACCCAGTCAGCTCCTCCCGTCACAGCCTGTGTGAGCCTCACCCTTGCCCCCCACCTTCCACGGTTCTTAGGAAGCCGAACAAGAGAATGAAGCCCGCAAGAGGCAGGAGGAGGTGATGCGGGAGAAGCAGCTGGCTCAGGAAGCCAAGAAACTGGATGCCAAGGTGGGTGGGACCAAGAGTTGGGGCCTGGAAGAAAAGAGGGCAAACGATTTGGAGCGGGTGGAGCAGAGAGAGATGAAAAACTGAGACTGTAGACCACCCAGAGGGCCTGAGGCTGGAGTCCAAAGGAATGGGGCTGGGGCTTTGGAGTGGAGTTCCCAGGCAGTGGGGGTGGGGGCTGGCCACACAATCAAGGGCATCCCCAGCCTGCCCCATGGTAGGTCAGCAATGACTCCCTTCACCTTCCAATGCTTGGCCTAGGCCCCATCTCAGCGGAACAAGTGGCAACAGCAGGAACTAATTGCAGAGTTGAGGCGGCGCCAGGCCAAGGAGCACCGGCCCGTTTATGAGGGGAAAGATGGTGCCATTGAGGATATCATCACAGGTGGGGTCCTCTTCCCTCCCTAGGGCCTCGCCACTGGGCCTTGCTCCTAAACCCAGCCTTACATCTTTGGGCCCTCCTCCCTCCCACCCATCCACCCCATGGGGCCTGACCGCTGTGTCTCTCTCCTGGGCCACAGTGCTGAAGAGTGTCCCTTTCACGGCCCGTACTGCCAAGCGGGGCTCACGCTTCTTCTGCGATGCAGCCCACCATGATGAGTCAAACTGTTAACCCCCAAGGCTGGGGCCCTTGACAGGTACTGGGCACCACAGCTGCCCCTGCTGCATGTACTCCACCCAGGACTCCTGCTGGGGCCCACAGGCACCTCCTCCCCTGCATGACTTGGAATGATCCTTCAGTAGCCTCTGGTGGTGGGGACACATATTTCTCTCCCTGCATGCCCCATGCTCCAAGAAGCATGGCTTATCCCCTGCATGTGCCCTCAGGGAAGTGGCATCTCTCCCACTAATGCTGTCCTGGCTTCTACTAAGGCCCAAGGGGTAGGGAGTTGCCAGAAAAGGCAGAAGGTGGCTGCTGCCTTGATCCCTGAGGCTGCGGCTCTGGTCCTGGGCCCAGGTATCCTTTGACCTTGCCTCCTCCCCCAGGGTTCCTCTGAGCTCTGGCAGTAGCTCCTGCCTAGAGACATATGTCCCTTGATCTCTCTTTCCTGATATCCGACCTCCTAGGGTCTCTTCCCAGCTTCTGGCTCTAAACTTTTTCTACCACTGCCTAGTGGCCTCTAGTAACCCACATCTGTCCTCTGAAAATGCAGAGCCCACCATCTCCCTGACCAGCCAGCCCCTCCAGTGTCTCATTAAAATTTTTCCCTCCCTGGCCTCATGGCTGGCTCTTCTCTGGCCCTGCCTGTATAGCTGCTCCTACAAAGTGTGGCCTGGCCTCTCTGCCTGTTCACAGGTCTCTGTCTTCCCCACAGGCCTCCACCACCAGCCCATTGTCGTTTGCCACCAAGCCCGGAGTGCCACACCACCCAATGGCCCCCCTCGGGCTCCAGGCCCCCACTGAGACCCTCTTGGAGGCAGAAGCATTTCAACCTCCCAGAGTCCGGCATCCTGCAAGTCCAACCAGTGGACTGGGAGCCCTGGAATCAGCCAAGGGCCAAACAGAGGACGCTGCTCTCAACCCAGTGTCCACCCTAGTTCTCAAAGCTGTATCTTGCCTGCCACCTCTGTGGGCACTAGGTCTTTCAGGGCCTGCACTTCCCCGTGCCTCTAAGTACTGTACTTTCACCCAAGGTCTTCAACTTCATTTCCTGAAGGGTCACCAAAGATCAGTGCAGGGGTGGAAAAAACCACATCCAGCTTTAGCCTGTACAGGGGCACCGAAGCCCCTCTGTCATAAAAGCCAGAGGGATGAGAGGAGAAAGCAACTGTCTTGTTTTCACCTTCCTTTTTGCAGCTCCATGGTCAGCTGTGGTTTAGAAGTATCTGGGCTTAGGGAGTCCTGGGACCCTGCCAATCATAGATCCATCTTTTACCGGGAGCAAGGCCCTCCCAAGCCTAGAGCCCATCCAGACTGGTCTAGTAATAAGGATAGAGGAGAGATGCCATGCTTACAGCCCTTGGCCCTATACTCTAGGCTAACTCTATTTTCTTGCCGAAGTGGGCGGAGGAGTAGAGGTTTCTGCTGCCCCAGCCCCAAGAGGATTAGAGAAAGGCTGTGCCAATAGCATCCTCACCTTCTTTCCTCAGCTAGGTTTTTTTTGAGGCAGGGGGCATGGTGGTCTTAGCTATTTTCTCAATCCTCTGACAGTTTCTTCTCAGCTGCTGGAAGGGAAGACAGGGGACCACTCCTTTTTTGTACATGTACCACTTCCCTTCTCTCTTGTACATAAACCCTAGACGTTCCTTCTCTCAACAAAGGCTTGAAGCACCAGGCCTGACTCTGTCTCTTCTTTCTGAGCATGGGAGGACAGGGTAGCCATTTAGCCAGACCTGAGCCACAGGGAGAGAAAGGAGGCTGCACAAGAAGAGCTGCCATCTGCTTTTGGGGAGGTGAGTGCACAAGCCTGGGGAAGGGGAACCAGACTGGGTGGACTCCACCCACAAATGGAGGCAGGCCTGCTATGAGACGCCAGTGCCCTCTGCAGGCCATGTGTGCACCTGTCCAGAACCCAGCCTGCCTCAGTAGCGTATGGAGAAGACAAAAGAGCCACTGGCATGTTATAAATATTGTTATTTAAAAAACAAAAACAAAACAGAACACACATATACTGGGTCCCAGGGCTGAAAGTAGTTGTTGAGCCCCAGGTCCCGGGCAGGCAGGAGCAGGCACTGATGCTAGAGGGTAAGGACCCTGCCTGTCACCAGCCTGTCACTCTTCCCTGGAGGCCCCTTCTCACATTTTATCTACTGGCACCACCCACCCCACATGGCATACACCACCAATCTCTGGTCTAGGGCTGAGGGCAAGGACTGCACTAGTTGTCTGGGAAGTGGGGAGGCCCCTGAACACCTTGGGAGGTGCTGGCAAAGGTGTGTTGGGGTGGGGTTACTGAAGAAAAGTGGACACAGACCAGACTGAGGAAGGAGTCTGGGGCAGACAGTGAGGGTGACCTAGGAGTCATAGCCTCGTGCAGACCAGAGTCAGAGCAGCTCATCGGGTCATTGGTGGTCGTCCAGCTGCTGCAGGAGCGTCCGCCGCCGCCTTTCCAGCTCACCCTCGCTCAGCTCACTTTCCGACGTGTCCCAGCCCGTCTGGTGGAGCAAAGGCACAGCTCACCCACAGCCTCCCCCGAGGGCCGTGGAGGCCTGGACAGAGTGCTGACCGGGCTGGGGCCCGGTGCCTGCCTCTCACCTTCTCCTTCTTGATTCCAAAAGCTGGGGAGCGGTTAGGGAGCTCTGCCCGCCGGAGCTCCCTGTCCTTGTCCTGTTCTGGTTCTTTCTCGTCACTCTCCTTGCCAGCTTTCTCCTCGGGGTCTGTCTCGCTCTCAGGACTGTTCTGTAAGAGCCCAGAGCCCGCCTCCTCAGTTCCCGTGGAAAACAGCCCAGGAGGTGCAACAGGCGGGTGGAAGAGAGCTCACAAAATAGCAGGGCCTCGGGTAGACGTTCCTTCTCTACGCACCGACTTGTGTCTTCTCTTCTTAGTTTTCTTTTTTGGTTTCTTGGCTTTCCGAAGGCCATGATCTGGAGATAGAAAAATCCCCACTAAGTCCCACAGGAGAAGGGAGGGCTCATCCTTTTCTCTGCCACAGTCCATCTGCTCATTCTTCATAGACAGGGACCTGTCTGAGGAAGTCTCAGTCAGTCCAATTTTCCTTCAGTCTGCCCGTTTCCTGCCTGGGTGGGGCCAGCAGCTGCAGCCCCCAAGTCCACTCTCCCCTCAGGGGCTGGAGGGGGTACCCAGGGCCTCCTCAGTTTGGACCAACTTCTCTAGCTCCCAACTGCTTACCTGATCCAAGGAAAAGGCGGGAGGATGGGGAGCCCCGTCCTCCAAGGGCAGCACCCCCACTTTCAACTGAATCAAGTGAGGAAGAAGGCTCAGAGCCTGACTCTGAGGGGTTCCGCCTCCTCCGTTTGGGGGGCCGGAGAGACGGTGGGGGCAGTTCCTCCTCTTCTGACTCAGAGCCCTGGGCAGACCAGCAGATACATGTCAGTGCTGAGGCGCTCTGGCCTCTGGAGCCTTTCAGCCTGGGAACTGGAGACTGAGAGGAGGATCTGGGGCCAAAGAAATCTCCCTCCAGGGCAGGTGACAAATGGGAAAAAGTAAAGTGGTTCTTTCCCCAAAACAATCCAGCCTTACCCCACATCCCTCCTACCCGCCAACTCACTGAGGGCGAGTGGGAACGCTTGCGATGGTGCTTCTTGCCCTTCCTGCTGTGTTTTCGGCCTTTGGTGTGGAGGTGCTGGCACTCAGTCTGGTAAAGGCAGAGGGTGGGGTGAGGAAAGCACCATATTAGCCCCAGGAAGGACCCTGCATCCTAAAATCTGGTTTTGCCTCCTCCTCTCAGGCCAGGGCCTTAGGCCTACCCAGGGGGCACCCTAAGACCTCTCTTTCCTTAGTTGTGCAGGGAAAGGAGAGCCCCGGGGTGGAGTGAGAGGTCACTGAGGTCTCTACTGAGCTGGCCTTGGGTGTCCAATACGGAGGACCAGAGCGCTGCCTCACCTCCAGTACCTGCAGGAACTCCCGGAAGAGCCGGATCCGCTCCGACTCCAGGGTTATCTGCTCAAAGGCTGAGTCGCACACAAAGCGCTCACGGACCTTGAACGGGAGAGCATTACTGATCAGACCAGCCCTGGCATGGCATGGACACCGCCATGAGCACAGGGCTGGGGCAGAGGAAGGAAGGGAGCCGGAGCTGGTCGTGAGCTGTGCTATGACGGGTGGGCCCCCAGAAGTGGCCAAGCACAGCTGCCCTCAGGACTGGGGTGGTGTGTGGTGCCAGGCTGCAGTCCTGACCTCTTCCCAGGCAGTGCCCAGCTCCACAGCAGGCACAGCCTGCCTCAGCATGCTTCGAAAGGCAGCTTCCCTGCGCCGCATCCTTCGTGCCTCCTCCTTCTCCCGCTCTCTCTCTCGTGCCTCTGCTTTCTCCAGCAGCTGAGGGCAGAAAGGACGCAAAATGGGGTCACCCAGGAGTGTGGGAGCCTGGACCCCACTCAGGCACACCTTACAAGGTGGGAAGTTGGGGTGTGGGCTCCTACTATCAATGAACTGGGGCTACTGTCACATGAGGCAGTGAGTGAGAAGGAATGGAACAAGACACAGGGATGCATTTAAGAATGGAGCCCTGGCTACAGCCCTGGCCTGCCTGGGCACTCACACTATTGAAGGTCAGCTTGATGTTGCCTGCGTCCAGCGCAGCAGCCCTCTTGTCAAAGCTTATGACATGGGCGAAGTCCTCAAAGGCTGTGTTCACCTCCACGCAGAAGCCCCGGTCCTGTGGGCACAGCAGTGCATGAAGTAAGGGGGCATCTTAGGCCCAAGGCCCAAAGCTGGCCTCTGGGGCAGGCAGAGAGGTCAGACTAGGATGCTCAAGAAGGCCCTGCTCCCAGAAGAGATCCACAGGACTGGGATGCACTTTGGAAAACAAGCTGTCCAAGTCCTCACCATCTAACGATTAAACTCTCCCCCTCCCCACACCTACCCTTGGATGTCATAGGGAGCTGGCGGGGGGGTTCACATGGGAAGAGGGAGCAGGATGTGTGTGTATGTGCATGTGTACAGTGCCTGCTGGTTGATGACTGAGTTTCCCACAATTAGTTATTTGTTCCATTGGCTTAAAGTTTAGGTCCCAGCTGGGCTTGCCTTGAGTCTACTGAATGCCTTGCAAAACCAGCCCCCTTGCATTCTCAGTCAACATCTGCTGGTCCCATCCTTCGCCTGTATTCACTGGTGCTTACTAAGTACCCAGTACCATGATGAGGTGCTTCACACATAGATCCCCTTAATCATCAGTTTCTAAAGTTAAACGTAAGTCCTAGTCTCCTAATTTTATGCAGACGAAGAGACCAAGGTCTACAGAAATAAGCACTTGTCCAAGGTTTCCTGGCTATTCACGGAGAACTACCCCAGGTCTTTTTAATGCCAAAACCCATAGTTTAAGCATTATACCCACACAGACCACATAGTCCACAGGAGAAAGAGGCCAGCAGGTATCCAAGTCCCAAACGTTAAAAATACCTCACATTCTCAAAACACCACAGGCCAGGCTCTGAGCTTCACACTGAAGCCTCCCAACACCCCCGTGAAAGCAGAGGGTTAGGAAAGTTATCTCATTTGGCCACTTGATGGAAAGTGTAGCAAATGGAGTTTGAAGGCTGGCTCTCCAATCAGCTGGGGCACAGGCCCAGATGCCCTTGTGCTCCCTCTGCACAGCTCCAACTTCCTCCAGCCTTCCTACTGAGGGCAGGGGCGCATAGTCTTCTTGCCTTTTCCAAAAGGACTTCCTCAACCCACGTTCTCCAGGCTTCTCAAACAGCATGTCATCTCTCTTTCAGGGAATTGAAAGCTTCGACCTCACCTCTTCACTGGCTCCTCCTTTCGAGTGCATACCTTACTTAACCTGGGACATACTTTTCCACCTGCTCTCACCTTTCTCAAACTGACAACCTCTGCTTCTTTAGCTTTATTTCAAAATCTTTAAATTTCAGCACAAAGGAAAATAAACATTTATTATTGGGCCTACTATCAGACACTTTACAAGTATTTAATTCTCACAACCTTGCACAAATTATCCCCACTTTACAGAAGAGGAAATCGAGGCTCAGACACTATATAATTTGCAGAGATCTCAACCAATAAACAGCCAAGAGTTACCCAACTCTAAAGCTGGTGCTACTGTACCCACTGAACCCTCTCCACAGACACTGCTCTCCCACAGACTGTCGCTGCTCAGGTTCCTAATGGCCAACCCCAAGAGCCCCTTCTCTGTCCTCACTCATCCTTGGCACCTCTGCCGTTCAACCTTCCACACTCCGCTCTCCAGGGTCGTCATCTGTCTCTCTGAGCTCTTTTACCCTCTTGTATGTGCTTGTTCCCCTGAGAACAGTACTTAGTCTTTTCAATCTACACGGTCCCAGACCCTCTCTCCTAATTTTTGGAGAAACTGGTTTGGGCTGGGTAAACTGGGTATTTCTTAGACACTTCAAATCAGCAGATCCCAAGAGAATTCATTTCCCGTGAGCCCCATCCCCATGGATCTCCCAGACCTGGAGCTTCGATCTTCCCGCTGTTCCAAGTCCAGGGCTCTGCATTACCCTATGGGGTAAGAGGTGCCACCAGTCCAGCTGGCTGGTGGGTGGCCACAGGGACTCTTGGGCTTGCCCGTCCTCCACAGGTAGGGACCCAAAGAGGGAGAAGAAGGGAAACTGAAGCAGCTGCTTTCTCAGGTGGTGTGGGGACGGACTCAGCAAAGACTCACGCAGGCCTGTCTGGAGGACCAGCCACTCTGTGGCTAAAGTTAAGCATTCAATAAAATTTAGATATTTTTTATATTTGGGATATAGAGATTTCTACTTTATATGATTATCCTATTTAAAATATGGTATTTGATACATTAATAAAAAAATAAAATATGGTATTTGCTGTATTCCTCTCTATCCCAGGATGCTCTTAAGAGTAATTCCCTAAATGGAATTCCTATTTTTCCAGGCCTGTTCTGTTCTTCCTGCTTGATCCTTACCAACAGTGTCATCATCCACCCCTGCCAACTTCCAAGTCATTCCTTCCTTTCCCTCTATTTCACAGAGTCATGTCAATTCTACTTCTGAACAACTATCCTGATTTTGAACTTTCTTTTTTTAACAGCAGAAAACATTTTTTCAATCAAAATCTTACATAGAACCTCAATGTATAAAAGAGAAGCTGCTGTACTTCAAAATACAAAAACAAGCATTAAAATCCCCCCACTCAACTTCCCCTTGCATATCCAAGGCACCTCTGAGGAAATCTAGGGGTCTCTGCAACACAGCTGGAGCCCCAGCCTTATCTGCCATCCCAGCCGGGCCTGCCTTGAGCTCCTTTCCCACCTAGATTCCTGCAAGAGCCTCCCTGCTCACCTCCTACACCTCTAACCAGTCCTGAGAGCCCAGTGCTGCTCAGGCTTTTCTACCAAATGGCCCCAAGAGCAGGGAGAGAGGCTTGGCATGAGACAGAAGAGGAGGAAGGCTCAAAATCTGTTTGAATTACTTGCCATTATCACTTTCAGTATCCTGAGGTGTCAGGTACTGGCCTCCCCAACCCACCTCCCCAAGGATACAAGTGCTCATCAGCCTTGGAGGTGCTACCCTTCACTATCACCATGGTTCTTCCAAGATGTCATCTCGTCAGTTTATTCCCTGGCTCCCCATTACTTACAAGATAAAAACCCAAAGTACTTATTTCATTCAAGGCATTTCACATGTGGGACTCTACTTCCAAACTGGGGCATGTGGGTCCAGAGAAACAGGAAACCACAGGACAATATGCTATTGTCTTACCTAATGGTAAATAATTTAAAAATACTAAGTTTATATTAAGCAGAGAAGTAATATGGTATTAAAATGCAACACCTGCATGAATTTGTGAGGCAAAACACAGGGCTTCAAAGAAATGTGTGTGCAGTGGGACATTTCTAGCTTTATTTTCAGACCCTGCTCACCCCAGGTCCCAAATACTTCCCTCAGTAATTAGATGTACGTGATGGAAAACTCCCCATTTTTCAGACGAGGAAACTAAGGCTTAGAAAGGTTAAGAAATCTGCCCAAAGTCACACAACGAGAAAGTGCTTAGGCTGGACTTGTACCACCAGGCGTCTGCCTCCACAGTGCTGCTCCTAACCACCATGCGCACTGCCTCGTCAGCACATTAGAAGGTTCTTCGCTTCCACAAAGAAACAGGCTCTTTGGTTCTCTTCTGAAATGCAAGGCTGTCACTTTTCACCTTTGTTTTTGTATTTTCTGAAATACAATCACTTTTTCACCTTTGATAGAAATGGATGAGAACCATTTCTCCAGTGTAAGAAAAGCGATGCACACGTGTGACAGTAGGTAAATGGCAGCTGAACTCACTGCCACATCAGGGCAGTGACCAGAGTGGTGAAGATAAGGCCGATATGCCCCTTCTAAAACACAGTGGCATCTCAGCTTGAGTCTACTGAATGCCTTGCAAAACCAGCCCAGCGCTGATAGGTAATCCAAATTTTCAAGAGAAGCTGAAAATCCAGATTTTTATGTGCAATCTCCTGATTTTAAAATGTTAGCAATGAATACCAAATTTTTCTAAACCACCCTATAGGCCAGAAGGAATGTATCTGAGGGCTACCAGTTTATAACTTAGCTATGCTTCCTGCTCCTCAAACCTACCATGACCTTCCATTCCACCTTTGCCCCTGTGGTACCCTATGCCCAGGACCTCTACCTACCTCCACCCAGGTGCAGTTCAAATGCCAATTCTTCTGGTTCTCATCTCTGTAATAACACTTGCCCCTCTATATAATAAATGTCATGACTATTTTCCTATTAGGACATGACTTCCTATGGGCTAAAATCATATTTATTTCTGTGTCCCCAGTGCACAGTAAAGGATCACAGCAGGTATTTGCTAAATTCAGCTGAAATCCTCCTACAAAACAGGACTTAGCAGGGAGTCCTGTCCAGAGAGCATGGCCTGCATCTGCCCACAGCCCCTGGCCTCCCTCACCTTAAGGATGTCCTTAATGATCTTCTTCTCATCATGGAATCGTGCCTTCAACTCCTCCACATAGAACTTGAACAAGTCCAGAGGGGTGGAGCCTGCGGGGGAGGGAGGGAGGGGGGCCTGGCGGCGGCAGCTTCCCAAGGCCTCGGGGTGGGATCGAGGACAGGAGCAGGGAGTGGGGGTGTAGAGAGGATGGCAGGGCAGGAAGCCAGGCCAGAGGAGGGGTAGCCTGGCTGCCTTACCCGGCTGGCCCAGCATGTTGGCAAAGCGGACATCAGTGCTGACTGCTGGGTACAGCTCCATCCAGGTGGACATAGAATGCAGCTGCCCTGTCTCGTGCAGCTCGTCCAGGAAGGTCTGAGCAGGGAGAAGCCAGTTATAGGGTGAGAGAGACAGGGAGGGACGCAGAACCAAAGACTGGGGAGGAAGAGGGGGATGGCAGGGAGAGGCAGGGACCATCTTGATTGAGCAAATGCAGGCAAGGGAGGCAGAGATGGGGAGATACGGATGGGGAAGCAGAGAGCAATGCAACAGGAGAGAACATAAATACCGACTGGGACAGACTGAAACCTTAGTGCGAGCTGGGCCAGGAGAGAGAGACAGAAGCTTGCCTGCAGCACTATCTTCCCATGACTTGGTTTCAACTTCCTGACGTGTTACAGCTAAGTTACACCCACCATTACCACTGTCACCATCGCCACCTCCAAGCTGGGGAATAACTAGCTATGCCTGTCTGGCTCCCCACCAAAAGGAAATAACCTTGGCCTAGCTGCCAAGCCGTGCCTTTAGGGTGCTCTCTGCTGGCAGTTTCTAGGTGGTGCATACATCAGTCTCCCTAGAGGAGCGTGGCCCAGAGCTGAGGAACACAAAACTGCAGGCACAGAGAAGCCCCATGTTGCTGGGACAGGACTGGGCACAGACAAAAAACAGTGGGCCTGGCCAAGAGGCGCAGCCTGGGTGGACAGAAGATGGTCTGAGGCTGAACTGAGCTCCGGTCCAGAGGGTGGTGAATATACCTGAAAGGCCTCCCGGTTCTTGCGTTGTTGGCGCCGCTCCCGAAGCCGGGCCCGCTCCCGCTCCTCTTCCTCCTCTCTCTCCAAAGCCCGGATATGCTCCTCAAAGCAGATCAATGCATCTTCCTTGTCCATGTCTAAGTACAGGGAGGAGGTCAGCAGGCACCACACTGCCGGGACACCCTTTGAGACCCCAGCACCCCCAGAGCTTTGAGGATGCCACCCCTACAGGTGCCAGGGATGACCAAGGTGGGACAAGGAGGGCAGGGGGCTCTGGGGGGGGGAGGCTACTGGAGTGGTGGTTTTTGAGGAGGCCCCATTAACTGTATATGGAAAAACTAGCAAGTGCTCAGCTCTTGTGAATTCAGTTACTAGAAGTCATCATATGAAACCAGTTATCTCTAAATCAGAGGTTTTGTTCTATGGAACTGGCTATCAATCATGCTTTGAGGAAATGTCACAAGGTGAATTTCTGATATCACCAGTGATTACAGGTCAACAACAGTTTACTATAACATGTGTGACCAGTCAAGGCCCACTATGCCATGACAATTTAATATTCACATGAGCTATAAAAATAATCTCTAGGTCTCCTGATTCCTGTCCCAGAGCTCTTCCTCGAAGGACATACAATGTCCATGTCAACCCTGAAGGCAGGGAGGGGGTGTCCTTAAGCACTGTGGGATCTCCAGAGTCCAAAGAGATACAAGGAGTAAGAGAGTGTGGGCAGTCCTGGATGTCCAGAAGGGCATCCAGGCAGGTGTAAGGGAGCCACATAAGGCAGGTTCTGGGAGCTCAGGTCAGGGAGGAAAGGGGAAAGGACAGACGAGAGTGGAGCCTCGGGCTTACTCTGCAGCTGATGGTCCTGTGCAAAGCTGGGATTATCCATGAGGTACTGCTGGGCCTGGGACCATGTGGTTTGGAAGTTGACGCTACTCATCCCATCCAGGATGCTCTTCAGGGCTTGGATATTGCGACGCCGGAGCTGCTTGGCCTGTTCCTATGGAGCCACAGGGTCAGGGTAAGGCAGGGCAGGCTGGACCTACACAAATGGGCCTGGGCAGAAATTTGAGGCAAGGCTAGCAGCTAGGGAACCTTAGAAAGCTCAAAGCTTTCATGTTCTCAGAAAGGGGAAGGAGGACAGTTTATAGTCCAAGCCCTCAGACTCCCTCCTGCCTTTCCATGCCCAGGTTGTAGGCAGACCAGAAGTGGGGGTGTACAAGTGCCACACCAGCTTCCATGTAAGGAGCTGGGACCCTGGGGCAGCACAGAAGTGAACCAGGGTCCCTAAGTGAGCAGAGACATGGAGAGTCTAAGACAAAACTAGAGCTGACTGATCCAACCCAGTGACTTGTTACCTTCTCCTTCTTGGCCAGAAAGAAGAGGACATCATCATAAACTTCTTTTCGATCCCTCTCAGGGACCACAGCCCAGACCTCCAACTCCCCAAAGGTCTGTTCTGCCCGCCTGCAGAGCATATGGGCTGTGGGTAGGTGGGCAGAGAACACAGACCCTGGGCCCAGTGTTCTCAGGGTTCCCAGGCCCCACCCCAGCCCATCCCCCTGACCGGTAGCGGGTGGTGGAGGTCATGCGTTCATGCTGCTCCAGGAAATGCTGCAAGGTCTGCTTGGCCTCCTTGGCCTTTAGCCGGGCCTCTTCCTTCTCCTCCTTCTCCCGCTGCGCCTTGTAGGCATTGAATGCCTGCTTTTTCTCACTCAGTTTGGGTAAGGCACTGGGTTGTAGAGGGTGGGAGTGGTGTGGGGACAGAATCAGCCCAAACCACCCTACTCAGCCTGCTAGGCAGCGTCACATCACACAGAACTAGTGAGGGGTCCATGCACGGGCACAGCAGGCTGTAGGGGCTCAGGGGCACAGGGAGGCAAGACAGGTCTCTGGGGTGTAGCGAGGGGTGAGAGGCAGTACGGGTCTCCAAGACACTGCTAATACTGGGCCCTTCTGCTTGGGGTGCTGAAGTCACAGTCCGGCCTCTGCCCTATCCAGCCCCCCTTTCCCAAATTAATTCAATTCAAATCAATTCAATTCAACAAGCATTTATTGAATGTCTTATGTCAGAAACCTCCCCCACCTCCCGGAGGCCCTCCAGCTTCTCTTCCCCCTTGCATCTTCACCCATGTATCACTCTCTAGACTCTGGACCCTGCGGGGCTGAGTGCTGAGCTGGGGTTTCTCAGGGAGTGCCTGGCCCAGATCTCTTATAAATGAGGTCTAGAGGGCCTGGCTCCCTCTGCCCAGGCCTACCTGTAACGGGGGTCGGTGACCACCATCTTCATGGCCTGTTCCCACGAGGCGTTGGAGGGGACAGCCTAGAATGGAGCAGGTGGGGGTCACGGGGCCTGCCCACCTCCAGCCCCCTCCAGGCCTACCCTGGGAGCACCACCCCAGCACCTTGTCCCTCAGTAGCTCCTTGAAGGCCTGTTTTGCCTTCTCTCGGTTACTCCAGCTGAGGCCAGACCTCTCTGGTTCTGGCTTTGATTCCTCTTCCTCCTGCTGTGGTGGCTGATGCTGTCCAGAACTGGGGGGGGCACAGGGGCTCAGCCACAGCAGCCCCCGGTCGTAGAAGCCTTCAGTGACTGTGATCAGTGGCACCACCCCCTCCTGGCTTCCCAGAGAAGCCCTTTTCTTCCTTTCAGAGATCATGCCCAGATCTTCATACCCCTCCCGAAAGGTCTGACAGAGGTCAAGGGGGGACAGGCTGAGAGCCTGAGGCCAGCATCTGGAATGCCTCGGGGCGGGGGTGTGTGCAGCCCTCACCTGCTGGGACCCTCCTCCAGCTGCTGCAGGAACCCCTGCTCCACAGGCTGGACAGCCTCTGACATATTGCAATCTTCACTCCCACCTGGTTCAGGTTCTAGGATGCTAGTGGGCACAGAGGTGGGGCCCGGTGGCACAGGTGGGGGGTCAGGCTGTGGCTGAGGAGGCTGTGGCGGCTGCTGCTGCTGTTTCCTGAGGGTGAGCGGAAGGGCAGTGCCCACGAGCAGAGCAGGGATAAAGATGGTCAGGTGCTGGCTGCTCTCTCTATCCCTGGAAGGACTGGGGCCAGAGCAGACCCTCCACAAGGAGACTGAGAGCTGGCTCTTCCTCCCACAGAGCAGGGATTATGGGGAGAGAATCCATTCATTCCCACCCCTCAGGTGGCCCCAAATATGGATGGATAGATGGGCAAGTGGGCAAGTCACTCACCCTGCAGCCTCTTGTTTGACTAGAGCTGCAACAGGAAAAGAGAACATGGTCACAGAGTCATAAGGGCCACTCCCCAGAGCGCAGGCCCGGACCCAGGCCCTCCTCACCCTCCAGGTCATCCAGGTCCTTGGGCCGAGTCCAGCGGGATTCCTTGCTCCGGTTGTTGTAATAGTAAGATTTGCCTGTGTCAGACTTGTACTCTTTCCAGGGACACTGGGACAGCAGCAGCTGCAAGAAGATGGTCAGAGGACATGAGTGGGCTGTGCACACCCTCCAGGCAGATGGAGGAGAGCTCAGGGGGCCCAGCGAGTGGGGGACAGTTTTTAGCTACCACCTGATCTGGCTCCACATGGGGAAGGTGGCCTTCTTAAGGTCCTAGGGGGTGCGGGGGGCAGTCAGGGATCTTGGGATCAGAGGAACCACATGTACAGTTAGAGATGTAGGGGAAGCCAAGGATTTGGAAGGGTCAAGGCAGCTGAAAGGAAGGGCCAGAAAGCCCCGCTCAGGACCTCTGCCTTGGACTTGAGCACGCTGGGCTTCTCCCACACGGACTGCTTGTCGTCAGCATTGTAGTAGTAGATGCGCCCATCAGGGGCCACATGCTCACTCCATAGAGCCCTCTGGGGGAGGGGGGCACAGAATGGTTGTCAAGGCCCCTTTCCCAAAGCTTCTTCTCCTCACCCCAAAGATTTACATCAGCACTCCCATTTCAGCCTTTCTACCCCGAGACCCCTGAGCTGAAAGAACTCACCGGAGGACCTGTCCCAGCCACAACAGCTAGAAAAGAAGCCAAAGGAAACATATTAAGTCCTTGTTCCAGCTCCCATCTTATCCCCACCTGTTCCTCCCTCACTGCATCCCCACTAAATATCCCCTGCTCCCTGGCACCCCAACAGGCATGATCCAGGGTGGGCTCTAGTCCACGATCCCCTCTCCCTGTACCCCCCAACCTCCGAGCCTGGGGGGAGCAGGCCCCTAGAAGACTCACAGCTGGCGGTGTCCGCACCCGGAGCCGTCTGCCGAAGAAAGAGGAGGGGGAAGGGTTGGGGCCAAGCCCAGTGGCCCCCAGGACCCAGGCCATGGGGGATGGAGAAGCAGGCCAGGATCCATGTGCCCTGCTCCCAGGGACCTCTGCTCCCTAACATGCTTCCCCTCATCCAGGGCTGTGGCTCTAGGATCTTAGTGGGGGGACCACCCTGCAGCTTTCTTCATGTTTCTCAAGTGAGACTGTTTTGTTGAGTCAGACTCCAAGGCCCATCTCCACAGTGATGTCAAATGCTATTTGACATATACCCAGACTCTGCTAAACTGAGCAATGGCACAAGAAGGTATAGCGAGATCCCCAAGTGCTGCTGTTCCCTCCAGAGACAAAAAAGATGTGAAGGGGGCACTGTATGCAGGTGTCCACAGTGCTAGCTCTGCGAGGGAAGGAGTGCCAGGCCTAGGTGTGTCCCTTAAGGGAGCTGGGCATAGCGTGGAGAAATGAGAGAGAATGTATATGCCTTGGAGGGCAAGCAAGAGACTAGAAGAGCTGAACACAGCTGGAGAGGACGATTTGGGGATGGGGAGTGCTGCCGGCAGGACGGAGTTGATCAGAAGACAGGAAGAATGGAGGCCACATCCAGGTACTCCAAGTCAGACCCAAGGCTGTGGGGCAGACACAAGGCTCCGGCTGGCCCCAGTGCTTACCGCGGCGGTGACAGGTACCGCTGGCATCAGCATTCCTGGCATCATGGGAGGCACCATTCCTGGTATCTGTAGAAACAAGGAAGACAAAACCAAGCTAGCAAGGTGTGGGCAGGCACAGGCTGGGCAGGGTACTGAGACCCTGCTGGGACCATGAGCCTCCTGTGGGCACCTCCCCAGGTGATCCCCAGGTTCCAGGCTCTCAGCCTCACCTGAGAGTTTTCTCCAGTCATTCAGCAGACGGAGCCCCACGGCCCGGCCCAAAGCCCCCACCCCCTCCCACCTAGTTTTTGAAGTCCAGATGCCCACTCTCATTCCCACCCCAAGATGAACTCTGCGTTTCCTGAAGCCCTAGTGCAGGGGAAAGGATTACCTGTGTGAGTGGAGGTGGCGCCCCCATTGGTGGAAGCATTGGGGGCATGATACCAGGTGGCATAGGGGGGATGGCTGGTGGTCTCTGACTCATGGGGGGCAGCCCCATTGGAGGAAAGGGTGGGGGGATTCCTGGAGGGGGCATCTGGAAATGAGGAAAGGGAGAAATGGGGCAGAGAAGACACTGCCTTGGACCTGTCAGGAGCACCCACTTTTCTCTCGCCTTCCCCACCCACCACCCCAGCTCTGAGGCAATTCCACGGCACGAAACTGCCTCTATCCTCAATACCAGGAAAAACTGGTAACTGGGGGGTCCTTTGGGTTAAGCAGGCAAGCACTCAGCTTCTTGAGATCGGGAAGGGAGAGGGAAAGGGGCACTGTGACCGCCACCAGGTTGTCACTGGAAGGCTCCACCTCAGCGGCAACTCTCCCCAGAAAAGCCTCTTAGAGGCAGGGCCAGAAGGCAGCTCTCCGGGTACCTGAATCCTCCAGGCCCTGCCTCCCAACCCTTTTTTCCCAACTCAATGACCAGCAGTTGCTATGCCAGCCTGACTTCTGTGGCATATTTAAAGAATACAGATGAGAAGTAGGGAAAGAGAAAGGCAGCCCCACCCTGCCCCCCACACTACAGACCCCAGCCCCAGGGGGTCTCAAGGGCAAAAAGACAAAGGGGACACCTCAGCAGCAGCTTCTCCCACCCCAGTGCCCAAGCAAAACCATCCCTCTAAAAAAGGCAGCAGAGGGCACCACCCAAAACGTGCTGGCAGTGCAGCAGCATGAGGGGCTGGAGTTGGGTGCAGGCTGGAACAGCCAGGCCCAGGGAAAGAAGTGAAACTTACGAAGGGCGGTGGCATCATGGGGGGCCCCGGTGGGAAGGGGGCAGGCGCTGCTGGGGGCCGGGGACCAGAATCGGGAACCGACTGTTGAGGGAGAGAAAAGTCACAGGACCCAGGATGGGCAAAGAGATGGGCTTTGGCAGAAGGGAAGCAGAGGGGTAGGGAGGAAAGAGGAGTACCAAGTTCAGAGGGAGGGTCTTCAAGCCCAATTTCCTACCCACTCCCAGCTCTGAGCTCTGGGCAAGTTGGCTTACTCTGCTGCCAGCCCAAAGCCAGCTGGCCATGCCCCTTCAATGTCACCTTTATTTTGCCAAAGCCACAGAGAAGATGGAGGACGTTCTTCTACAGGCACAGATGGCTCTTGCCAAGGCTTTGTGGCCAATCCTCTGCCTGTGGTAAGACTGTGCCTCCCTCACACCAGTTACAGAGGTCTCCCATTCCCAAAGTATCCAGGGAGGAAGTGGCCTCTTCTCCCATTCCCCTACCTGAATTCACCCAGCTACAGATATTCAATCCCAAAGCCCTCTACGCACAAACATCCACTGGCTGCCCATGTAGCCGTGTCTCCCTAACTCTCCTCTTCACTTGCAGCCCCTCCCTAGCTGGCTCATCTTTAGTCACTCACTCAGATGGCTTCCACTTCCAACCACCTCCCTCATCTCCTCCCCTACAGATGCTGAGCATTTCTCCCTGTGGATGAGGCTTTGAAGAGCTCCCTGTCCTACACCTACTGCCTGGCTGCATCCCATCCTTCAGTTCTCAGCTTAAATATCACTTGCTCTAAGAAAGCTTCTTGACACTATTTAAAGCAGATCCTTCCAACTTATTTTCTATCTGATTCCCTTTTTACTCCCCTTGTATATGCTTAGTTTTTTTTGTAATTATTATGTTTCCCCTTTCTGGAGGATAACATCCCATGAGGACAGGGATCAGATATGATTCACTGAAAGAGGAATTCCTGGTACCTGCTACAGCTATCTGGTATATAATGGGTACTCAATAAATACTGAATGAATGAACAAATGAAGAACAGATAGTCTCTATATAGAACCTTCCTATTCTAAAAATGCATCCTATAGACATAGCCCCACATGGCCAGATTGATGCATATGCAAGGTTTCCATCTCAGCATTACGTATAAATACAGAAGATCGGAATCAGCCCAAATATCCATCAGTAACAATACACAAACATAAAATGGGACACTAAGCAGTCATAAAAAAAGAATGAAGAAGCTCTGTCTTGATACAGAGCAATCTCTAAGATACAATAGCAAGTGGGAAAAAAGCAAAGTGCAGCAAAGTTTCACCATTTGTATAAAAATCAGAAACAAACGATGACACACAAGATAGTAGAAGGGGGAAGGGGCGGAAACTTTTCACTGTATGCCCTTTTGTAATTTTTCAAAGTATACCCAAATGACTATATTACCCATCCAAAAATATTTCTCTTTAGTGAACTAAGGCTTAGAGATACAGCTAAAAGGCCCTGTCCTTCCTTTTCTTTCCTTAAATGTTGGAGGGTAGTAGAGAGGCATTCTAGGGAAGGGTGGTAGCTGGCTAAAGAGGAGTCAATTTCACTGCTGCCCAATCTTCTACTTCACCAATGACCCCTATGCCAAGAAGGCTCCCCATTTAAAGATGCTCTGTGATCTCTACCTTCAGCAATCTGTCTTTCTGCCAGTCTTGTGCTAAGGAGAGAAGGGGAAAAGCCAAACCTCTCCAACTTGAATCACTTTTCTTAGTGTTCTGCTATTCTAGCCCTGCATTCAGTTCAGACCTGCTCCTGCCCTCTGAAACTTTCCTTAGCAGGGGAAGTCAGAAAGTAACCAATATGGAAGGAAATCCCATGTTCTCTGCCTCTCCCACCTCAAGCTGCCATGGGAGCCTCTGTAACCTCCAGATACTACGTAATCATCTTTGGGTCCTACCAGGCTCCAGGGCCATCCATCTCTGAAACTGGTGCTACCATCCACAGAGTTGCCCAAGATAGAAACCTGTGAGTAATTCTCCACACCTCTCTATTCCCTGACAATACATCACTGAGTCCTGTTAATTTTACCTTATAAATTTGTTGTCTTGAATTCACCTACTCTTTTCCATTTCCTCCTCCACCCCCATCACCCCTTTTCTCATCTTACTGCAATAGCCTGCTGGCTGATTGCCCCACATCTACTCTCACCTGCAGCTCATCAAAATGCACCTCAGACCACATTACTTCCCTGCCTAAACTCTTTGATGACTCCCACCATTATTCAGGTAAGGACCAAAACCCCTGCCCAGGGCCTGGGAGGCTGTGGGAGTTTTGCTCCCCATCTGCCTTGCCAGCCTTGTCCATGCTAAGCTCCCAGGTCTGCGCTCCAGTCACACCTCCTGGCAGTTCTCCAACCTCAGGCCTCCACCTCTGCCTGGGGGAGTCTTCCCCAGAACACCATACACCTCACCTATACATCCTTCACCTCTAACAACCATCATTTCCTCAGGAAAACCTTCCTCCCAACTCAGCGGACTGGTGGTCAGAACCTTCTTTTACATGATCATACAATGCACCTTTCTTCTCAGCAATTACCCACTGCAATTTTACAGTTACCTGTACAATTCTGATTGCACTATTATTTTATGTGGCACTAATAAAAAACAAATGCTCCCAATTATACTTTACTGATTTTAAGATGCATCATGACTTCAGAAATGTTAACATGTTAAGTATTAGAATCTATGAAATATATGCTACCTGCACTAGACTGAAACCTCTAAGGGGCAGGAACTTTGGCTTTTTTGTCTGTTTTTGCTCATCCCCATATCCTATCCCATTGTATTTTTCTCATCACCCCCTAATGGCACAGTAGGTGCTAATAAATACTTATTGAATTAATGACTGAATACTCTTAGTTGGTCCTACAAAACAGTCATTGGTAAAGAACATATTTGATAAGAACACATTCAGGGAACACAATGTTAGGACCGGAGGATACTCTGGCAACCACCCAACGTGGTCCCTTCTCTTCAGAAAGAAAATTAAGAGGGAGTAATTGGTCTGAGGTCCCATTGTTGTTAGGGACAGAGCCAGGACAGCATCCAATCTGCCCTCCAGCCTTGCCCCCCTTAAAAGCATAGTCCTTGCCACAGGACACAGGTCTGTTTTTTCACTCTAGCATATCCCCTGTGGTCCATGTGATTAAATCAGCAAGGATCCAGTATTTTCTTGATAACCGGGGGTGGCTCCCTACTGCCCACCCTAGAAAATGCCTCCTCTAAACATTCAAAGCCTTTCAGCGTGGACCATTCCACTCTCCGCTCATTCTGAGTCGAAGCTTCCCTCCTCCTCTTTGTACAGGAATTGTTAATCACTGCATGTTTTCCTTTTACTCTACCTTGTCTCCGACTTTGCTCAAGATGATCCAATATTCACCCCCTTCAGGTTACCTTTGGACCATCCCCCCCCACACACACTCCTACCTATCTGTCTCCTCACGATAAACGCTATATTACTCTGCACCAATGACATGCGGATCTGTGGATGTTTGCTGGGTGTTTCACGTGGGACTGCCTGTCTCCCTACTTACGTGGGGATTTCCCTACATTCAGTGATCGAGTTTTTTCTCCTTTTAAATCTCTTGAGTGTCTAGTCAGGTCCCTGCTCACGAAGTGCTGTGACAAAATGCAGATTCATCCTTAACCTTATTAGATTTTTGCATACTGGAATATCCAGAACAGGGAAGTGCGTGTACATACATGTACACATGCATACATGCATATGTAACCAGGTACATTTATCTAAATTCTTTGGGTGAAGGCTGGCTGTGATGAGAGGGGCAGCCTGGCAGAGGCTGTGTGGCTGGGCAAAGGGAACTAGAATCAAATACTGTCATGTGAAAACCTAAATAATAAAAAACTGTATATGACCATCTTTAATTTGTAATGGAGACCCCTGGCTATGATTCAGACACTGGCCTGTTTGGGACAGTTCCCGACAGAGGACAGAGCAATGGAACGAATGCAAATTATTATGGAACTTCCAAAGCCCTCCCTTCCCTGAGCCTCCCCTGTACATGTAAACTTTCTTTCCTGAAACACCCCTTTCTCTATTTCACTTGGTGCAGTGCCTGTACTACTTTGAGACTATTACATTTCTGGGTGAGAATCTGAAGAAGTAACTCCTGTGCAAAAGGAATATAGCAAAGGGGGCTGAAAGAAAAGCAGATCCTGTCTTCCCTATAACAAACACTCATTTGGGGTCTGGGGAGAGACAACGAAGAGACAGCTGATCATCTCATGATCATCTCGCGCTCACCTGGGCCAGTGAAGTGCTGCACCCCGCCCCCTACCAAGATGTAATCGATTCTTCTCAGCCTCCATATCTAAGTGACATCTCAAAACCAAAGGTTCAAAAAAAAGAACAAAAGGAGAAAAGGGCAAGAACGGAGAGAACGAAAAGCATGGAAAGAGGGAATAGTAACAGCTAATAGCTAATATTTACTGAGTGCCTATTGTGAGTCAGATAGCACGCCATTCACTTAATCTTCGCAACCATCTTAAAATTATTACCTCCACTTTACAGATAAAGAAACTGAGGTACGGAGAGATTAAGTAACCTAACCAAGGTTCCAAGAGCTTAAATGACAGAGGCAGGTTTGGAATCCAAAGCAGTCTGACCCCAAAAACCTGGGCTCTCAACTATTCCACAAACCTGCCTCCAAGCAAGGATGATGGTGCCCCACCTATTTCCTGCACTCAAATTTACTCCCTTGTTTTTTTATTTCAATCCTCACACAATCCTGAAATCTTCAGACAGCCAGGTTATCCCAAGGTTGGCCTGGTCTGACTCACTCCCTGAAGGGATTCGTGCTGGAAAATGAAGACTGGAGGCACCTCTTTCACAAAGAGGTAGCCATCATCAAAAAGAAAAGTACCAGGAGGCTGAGACCAGCTGATTACCATGTGGTCTTGTCTCTACCTGCTGCTTTGTTTCAGCTGCCTGCAAACAGCACCTAACCCTCCTTCTGTTCTCAAGACCAACCTAGTCCCCACTCCCATCCCAGCCTTATTATTCCTCCTGCTCCCCAAGATACTGCCTAGAAAATATTTTCTATTGCTTCTCTCTGATCCTGCCATCCCCTCACCACTCACTCTGAAGAACAGAATGTTACTTCTGGTATTCATCTTTCTTGGGTTAGCTCTACTTCCAGAGTCCTTCCATCCCTCCAACAGTATTCCGGAGGCTCTAGCTAGCCTGCTCTAGCTAGCCTGCTCCAGCCTTCAGGCTTTGTGCCTACCATCCCCTGACATCCCTGAGGATTTCCTGCAGCCCCAGATGAAGGCCTCTCCTCCATCTTCAGCCTTCCTTCTCTTGTTCCCCACGTCCTAGAACTCATTCTCCTGAATTCTCTCAAGAACCGCCCCATTTTGGAGCTGGAAGATATCTAGGGTATCATTCTTATGCATTTTCCTTTATTGATTATTTTTCTGACTCTGGGAAATCCGAGGCCCAAAGAAAGGTAGTGACTTGCCCAAGGTCACACAGACTTGTTAACAGTTTGTTGATGGCACAGCCAGGGTTAGGGCTACGGGTCCTTGGCTCTCTCAGTACTTGAACTATCAAGCACTGGATTGGGGGCAGAGGGCCTCTTCACCTCTGGAGACAATGCGGGGAGATGGAGAGGGTCTCCAAGTGGACTTACGGGGCCTCCAGGGCTTCCAAATGGAACAAGCACTAGGTTTGGGGGAGGGGTATGTCGCACGCCAAATATCCCAGGAGGGGAAACTGTGGCACCTAGCTCGCCCCTCGTACCGCGGTTCCCACTCTCCCACCCCCTCTTCTTTCCCTTCCATTTTTGACAAACCTACCCTTCACTTCTTCCCTTCTTCCCCCTCACCCAGGCCCTCAACTCTAGTTCCCCTCAACCCCCAAAACACCCCTCACCCCGCCCCCCCCCACGCCATCCTCCATCATGGCCTCCCCCGCCCCTTCTCCCCCAAATCCCCGCCCCCATCTCCCCTCCCAGGCTCTCCTGCCTAACCCCTCATTCCCCTCGCCATTCCCCAGGGTCCCGGTTGCCCCCGGCAGCCTCCCTGCCCCCCGGGGCCCGGCCCGGGCCGCCGGGGGCGCTGTGGGACCGCCCCGGGCCCCCGGGCCCTCCACCCCCGCGCGGGGACGTTACCATGCCAGAGCCTCCGAGCAGCTGGGCCGGCTCGGCCCACCCGCCAGTAAAAGCTGCTCTGATTGGCTGGACCGCAGCCGGGAAGGCGGGGCCAGTGGGGGGTCGCACCCCTTGGTGGCCGTGGCTCCGGTCGCTCCCGCGGACCAGCCGGGCCCTGCACCGGCCCGGAGAACCCGGGCCCGTCCCCGCCCCCGGCGCGGAGAACCAGGCCCCGCCCCCGCGCCACCGGGTCCCGGGTCCGCCCACCTGGGGGCGGGGCGTGCCCGCTCCGGACTCCGAGTGACGGCCGACGCTGTGTTGCACAAAGCCGACTGAGCGCCGGCTCTGCGCGCGCTCATAAATCTGCTTTTCTGCCCTTCCCTCCCATCGCCTCCAGACCTGGGTCCGCTGCTTCCCGGCCTCCGCGGCACGGCTGGCGCCTCCGCCCTGCACAGCGCTCGGAGCGGCTGGATCCCGCACGCTCGCTCCGAGACCCAGGAGCTGGACCGAAGAATTCATTGCGAGTATAGGGGTATCTTTGCACCTTACAAAGCGGTTTTTTAGTGGCTACGTAGTTATTTGTAGCAGTTTTTAATTAATTCCTCCAACAACTATTTATTTTGAACCTCATGTAGACCAGGGACTGGGCACACAGAGACTGATAAAAAACCGGACTGATCGCCAGAAATCCCTGCCCTCAAGTGGTGTACACGTGCGTCTCACGTGACCCTGAAGTTACTTCTTTCGAGATGGGCTCCCACGGAGCGATGAAAAGGAGCAGGAATCCGATCTTTACAGGGATTAAAATGTGAGATAAATACTATGTTGTGCAGATAAGGGAATTAAAACCCAAAGTGAATATGTGGAAGGTCTCAGGGCTAGTCACTGATTATTATTTTGTGGTCCACTATTTTAGTACCCCTGTCTAAAGAAATGACTTCTTCAAGGTTACAAAGACTTTCTTATATGATTTTTGGGGAATATTTACAGTTTAAACTTGAGATAGCTTTATAGCCTTAGAGTTACAGCTTTAGCTATATTGAGTTTTATAACCCCCTTTAAGTCATTTATTGTGGATACTATGAAGAAATAGCAAACTTTGTATTTTTTTACTTTTTGCATATGGATACTTACTGTTCCGCCATCTTTGAATAGCCTATTATTTCATATTGAATTATGTTCACTTTATTATAAAAGAATTTGACCATATATATGTGAATATATATCTCTGTACCCTTTATTTGCCACCTATTTATTTCAATGATAAATGTCAAATGACAGAGATATTTATGCATGTTAATTATATACCAAAAACACTCTGTCTTGGTTAATAAGGATATTAAGCCTGGGGCTCCAGGCTTATGGGTGCAGAAGGGGGTCCAACACCTTCCCTTCAAACCCTGGTTAAGGATGTTCCTTTTTTCCTTTATTCATCAACACTTAGCTGAGCCTGTGTGCTGTGCTTGGTACTGTGCTAGGTTCTGGAGATAAAAAGACTCTTGAGCCGGGTCTTTGCTTGCAACGAGCTTAGAGTCTAGCAAAGGAGAGGTAGGAAAACAACACAAAGTAGAAGTCCTAAATTAAAGGAGGCAAGTGGGAGGACGGGTAAAGAATTCACTGTTGGGGGGTGGCCACTGTAGAGAAAAACTTCATTGTAGTTTTCATCACAATACCTACATGGCCTCAAATGAGGGCCCATCCCTGTGGTTTTAGAAATTTTTTGTTAAGACTTTAAGGCATAACAGAAGTGGTTCAGAAATTCCATGAACTTTTATCAATCATTTTTATTTTTAAAGTTTTTTTAAATTAGGTATTTCTTGGAATACATACACACCTATTTTATTTTATTTATTTATTTTTAAAAATTTTTTATTAAGGTATGATTGATATACACTCTTACGAAGGTTTCACATGAAAAAACAATGTGGTTACTACATTTACCCATATTATCAACTCCCCACCCATACCCCAGTGCAGTCACTGTCCATCAGTATAGTAAGATGCCACAGATCCACTGGGTGCCTTCTCTGTGCTACACTGTTCTTCACGTGATTCCCCACACCATGTGTACTAAACATAATACCCCTCAATCCCCTTCTCCCTCCCTCCCACACCCCTTCCCTTTGGTAACCACTAGTTCGTTCTTGGAGTTTCTGAGTCTGCTGCCATTTTGTTCTTTCAGTTTTGCTTCATTGTTATATTCCACAAATAAGGGAAATCATTTGGCATTTGTCTTTCTCCGCCTGGCTTATTTCACTGAGCATAATAACCCTCTAGCTCCATCATATTGTCGCAAATGGTAGGATTTGTTTCTTTCTTATGGCTGAATAGTATTCCATTGTGTATATGTACCACATCTTTATCCATTCATTTACTGATGGACACTTAGGTTGCTTCCATATCTTGGCTATTGTAAATAGTGCTACAATAAACATAGAGGTGCATATGTCTTTTTGAATCTGAGAACTTGTTTTCTTTGGGTAAATTCCTAGGAGTGGAATTACTGGGTCAAATGGTATTTCTATAGTTTTTGAGGCACCTCCATATTGCTTTCCACAATGGTTGAACTAGCTTACATTCCCACCAGCAGTGTAGGAGGGTTCCCCTTTCTCCACATCCTCGCCAGCATTTGTTGTTCTTAGTCTTTTTGATGCTGGCCATCCTTACTGGTGTGAGGTGATATCTCATTGTGGCATACACACCTATTTTAAAGAGTAAAATAATTGTATAAGATTTGTTGATTAAAACTGCAGAGCCCTGCCTCTTCTTTCAGGGAGGCAGCCATGTTCACTGTTTTAAGCTGTTTCTTTTGGCATTTACCTTCACATCTTTGGCCCTCCTCCAGCTGCATCCCTTTGCAAAGGGTGAGGAGTCCAAAGGGATATACCCAGCCAAAGCCCACTTACCCCCTTGTAGGCCGTGTTCTGAATACACGGGACCCTGGAACTCCTTGCCCAGCTTGCTTTCTGGGCCTGCACCAGCTTCTACCTTGGATCTCTATCACAGGGGGACACCTTGCTGATGGTGTGGACATCTGCAAGCCGGAGAGGTAGCCAAAGAGCAGCTATTTGTTGTCATAGGCATGAGCACAAGCTGGGCTGTCCACAGGACCCTGTGCGGAGCTCTCTCAACGCGGGACAGAGGCAAAGGCCTAAGGGAAGGGAGCTAGGCAAGACAAGAGTCTTTTCTAGTGTAGAACTCTGAGGATTCCAAAAAATGCTAAATTAGAATTTATGGCCTTCGAGGTCCTTATGAAGGTGTATTTGTAAACTTAGGCGTTTAGAAGGTTAAGGTTAGAAGGTATTTGACTTAGCAATTTGTTAGCTTAATTTGTAACATTAAAATATTTAGTATGTGAGTCTCTGTTTATAGTTTTGCCCCAGCCCCAACAATTAATAGGGGCAGACTTGAGAACTTAATGACTCTTTCCCCTTCCTCTCCTACTGCTTATACCTCATCTTGTCTTCCATCTACCAAATTTAATGTGATAATTTTCAATTATTACAACACTATGACTACATATGCTATTCATTGAACCATGCAGAAAACTTTGATTACTCTTCCTTTCCTGCACTTTCTTTTTTTCATGGAATTAATAATTATCTTGTTTTTGTTTGTTTGTTTCCTATGAATGTATCACAAAATCTGCCTCAAAATCTTCCCCCAGTTGCCTAAATTCTCAGAATATCTAGATAGAGCAGATACTCCACCAACTTCATCTTCCTTAAACTCTCTCTGTTGGAGGATTTCTTTCCTTCCATGTTCTCAGTTCTTTCTTTTTCTGGAACTCTTGTAACTCAGGTGATGAATCCGCTGGACTGGTCCTTCTAATTTCTTATTTTTCTCCCCTACTTTACATCTTATTTACTTTGTGTGGGTAAAATTGTAACATTTCCTGGCTTTAGTACACCTGCATATCAATAGGCGTTCAGAGGTGGAGTGAAGTATGGCTTTAGTGCATTTGCATAATTCCTCACGGGTGGAGAGAAGTTCATCTCCATATCAATGGGTAGTTACCTGGGCAACTGAGGGCTTATCTGTACCTGAGAGGGGAGGGGAAGGGCCAGTTTTGCTTCTGCTGGAGAAGGAAAGAGAAACTGCCCTGGACTACAGTTTGTAAGCAATAAACAGATTTTAAACTTTATTTCTCCCTTTGACTGATTTTGGTTTTTAGACGTATATTGCCCGGGAATTTCCGTTCTCCGGACTTACACTTTGTTTTCTGGGAGATTTCCTCAATTTGATCTTCCCATTCTGCTGCTGAGCTTTTCAATATTTTAAAGAGCTTTATTACTCTCACTTTATTTTTACTCTCCACATATTCCTTTTTACAGTATCTTGTTTCAGAGTTGCAATAGCGTACCTTAACGTCTGAAGGTATTAATGATGATTTTTGTGTAAGTTTTTTTTCTTTCTGCATAATCTCTGTTCACTCTAAATTTCTTTTTCTGTTGTTTTGGTCTCTTAACTGTTAGATTATTTCCTTGGAGGGCTGATAATCCTTGGTTGTCTGCTCACATTTAAGGGCAGGCTACCAAAAAGCATATTGGAGGCCTTTGTGCTCTGAGGGCTCAGTACGTGTGGGGGTGGGGGTGCTTGCCAGCCAAGAACTTTATATCAGGGAGCCCCTGATGTCAGCACCTTCAGGTCTTCCTTCTGGGGTGGTCAGCTATCTGGCACAACCAGTTCCATGTGCCGTATGGTTGCCCCACAGCTACTTTAAGAGCCATCTTTCTCTAGTCTAAGACATTAAGCTTTCCAGCTTCCTAAAGTATTTTGCTCGTCTCCTTTCCTATTTCCCTATCCTTGTGGATTTATGCCTTAAAAAATCCCTTTGCTATAGTTTTTATATATTTTTAGTAGAACAAAATTAGAAACGTGTTCAGTCTACCATTTTTTCCCAGAAACTTTAAATGAATTTTAATTGCTTTTAAAACAGTAATTTAAAAATACATACACACCAGTGTCCTATATATCAAATTTTGGGGTTCATCAAAACAGGGTTGTTGACATTGATACAATTTTGTAACAGAGATATCACAAGATGAAATTTAGAAATATGTTCTAATATAAAATATTTCTTCTATCTGTTTTAGATAGTGAGGTTCTGCAAGATGCTTTGGTTGGAAAAGGGATTGGCTGCTTTTTAAAAAAAAGTGTACAAACATCTTTCCTGGGCTAATGATCACCTAAGTGTGTCCCTTGAACTGATAAAGGTATTGCTCCTGGCCACGGAGCTGCATGGGAGAGGGGCTTGGAAGAGGGAGCATCCCAGGCCCAAGGGAAAAGAGAATGCAAGTAGAGAAGACTTGCCACCTGAGAAGGAGGAAGATCTACTTCCTTACACCCTCCAGTTCCCTCCTAACTAACTTCCAGCCCCTTACACTGTCTGCCCACAATCCCATCAGTCTTGGGCATTATAAACCACTGTATTTTTTAAATTAAAAATTTTTTCACTTCAGTGTGATGTTTTTGAGATAATCCAGATTGTTGCATGTATCAACTGTTCATTTCTTTTTAATGTGAGCTTTACTGAGGTATAACTTACATATGATAAAATATGCCAATTTTAAGTGTACAATACAGTGAATTTTCACAAATGTATACAGGCATGTAACCACCACCACCGTTTGGTAGAAAACATGTCCTTCACTTTTGCAGGCAGTCTTTTCCCCCTCATCTGGCTCCTGGCATATACTGATCTGCTCTCTGTCACTATAGTTTTGCCTTTCTAGAATTTCATATAAGTGGAATCATACAGCTTGTAGTAGTTTCTGTCTGGCTTCTTTCACTTCAGTGTGATGTTTTTGAGATGATCCAGATTGTTGCATGTATCAACTGTTCATTTCTTTTTAATGTGAAATAGTATGTTTCATTGCATGGACAGTTTGTTTACCCATTCACCAGTTGATGGGCATTTACATTGTTTGCAGGTTTGTACTATAACAAATAGAGCTGCTTATGAATGTACATAAGTCTTTGTGTGGAAATATGTTTTAAATTCTTTGGTTAAATACTTAAAAGTGGGATTGCTGGGTTGTATGATAATGTATACTTAACTTAAAAAAAAACCTGCCAAACGGTTTCCAAAGTGGCTGTACCATTTTACAATCTAACCAGTAAAATACAAGGGTTGCACTTCCCAACGTTGTCCATAACACTTGTACTGTCACCACACTTTTTGTTGTCCATCTCATCCTCGTCAGACTTGGCATCTCATTGTGGTTTTAACTTGCTTTTCCCTAACGATGGCTGTTGATATTGAGAATCTTTTCATGTGCTGATTTACCATCTGCGTGTCTCCTTTAGTGCCATGTTTAATTCAAATCTACCCAATTTAAAAACTGGATTGTTTTTCTTCTTGTTACTGAGTTGTAGTGGTTATTTATATATTCTGGATACAGGTCCTTTATCAAATGTGTTTTTCAAATAATTTTTTCTGGCTGCCATTTCATTTTCTTTTACATCTATGTTTGTGAGGGATAGTGAATATTTTTCTTGTAACATTTTTGTCTGGTTTGGGTAGCAAGGTAATGCTAACTTCATAAAAAGATTTGAGAAGAGTTCTCTACAGTTCCGTTTTCTAGAAGAGTTTGTACAGAACTGTATTATGTTTTTCCTTAAATGTTTGGCAAAATTCACCAATTAAGCCATCTGGGGCTGGAGTTTTCTTTGAAGGAAAGGTTTTTAATTACAAATCCAATTATTTGAATAGATATGGGGCTTTTCAGGTTTTTTCTTCTTTAGTGAGCTTTGATAGCTTGTGTCTTCAAGAACTTTGTCCATTTTATTAACTTCAGTGGCATCAAGTGTTTTTATAATATTCTCTTAGTATTCCCACTGCTCAGAAATCATAAGGCATTAAAGGGCCATCCAGTGCCAGAAGTGCAGACAGGTATCTGTAAAACAGGGTATGAATGCCTCAAAGGCAGAAGAACTAGGTCTCACATGTTTCTGTGTTTCCAGCACTTAGCCCCATGGCTGGCACATAGAATGTTACCAAACAGGGTTTGTTGAATGAATGAGGCAATGATAGAATTAACTTTGAGTAAGTGAATGAAAGATAGTATGTGAAAGACAGGAGGATGTCAGGTGACAAGTTATTAAGTGGCCATGGCACTTTTAAGAACTGAACTTACAACATTTATTTTCTTAACTGTTAAATAGGAATACTTTTTAGTAGCATGGGAGAATAATTTGCATGTGTATGTATTTGTACTTACATATCCATTCGTTCAAAAAAGTGTTCATTAGATGCCTATTATTTTTATTAAATGCACACTTCCAGGTCCTGGGCATACAACAGCTTCCATTTTAACCATTTGTTTTAAAAAGGCCTCTTGCAGTGATGATCACCTTCAGTAAGTGAAAGTGTTGATTAAGCGTTGGTCCCTGGGGCAAATTCAAGCATATTTCTATTAGCTACTGATTGGCTCTGATTTTTAAAAGTTCTCTTTGAGAAAAGAACCTCTAGTTGCCTTTTTTTTTTTTTTTTTTTTT